GTAACGCACGAGCCTTAGGACAGCTTACCAGTGCATGAAATACAGATTCATCTTCTACGCTTCAAATCAAGCACAGACCAATGATAGTTTGGTGGTGTTTAACTCTGTTAACTTGAACCGCCAAACTGTGTGTCACAGCATGCCATGCAAAAATTCTGATTTTCTGAGGGACCTGAGCCTTCTAAATAATATTCCATAGCCTCCTTTCTCCATTAGGCCTTGTACAATGGGAGGTGCTTAGAGAAATAAACCAGGCTTTTCTTAAGCCCCGGTGCTTATTTGTACAAGATAGACGCTTAACTAAGCGTCTCTCCTGTAGAAATAGACACCGGTGCTTCAGAAAAATCCGGTTTATTTTTCTAAGCATCTCTCTAAGCACCTTCCATTGTACAAGGCCTTAGCAGCACCACTTGAACTCCCTAACTCAATCATAGAGTCCTTAAGTTTGAGCGCCAATTTATACGCACTTTTAACTGAGAACAAACTATTTTTCTCATAGTGCCAAGCAACACCAACAGTCAGACCACGCAACTTCAAAATTTCATCAACGTCATGTGAAAAGAACAGATGCCGAATAAGATTCTCATCCCATCCTGTTGAGCCACCAATGAATAACTCAGAGACACATTTGATTGTGTGCATTTTAGTCATGCAGAAGTTTGGTGCGTGCTCATTGTGTTTGTATCATCTACACTGTCCTGTCGGCTGACTCGGTCACTTCATGTAGAGTCAACCTAATGTGTTTCTTATCCCTTCAACAATAAACTCACCCAGAGAAACATTCGTCCCTTGCACCAAGCTCATCCCACTCAGTCAAACAAGGAATTTGTTTGGTCCATCCATAAAAAGTACTACCTCCGTCCGGGTTTATTGGTTCCCATTGTATTTTGTGCTAAATTTTGATCATAGATTAAACTAACAAAATGTTCACGCATGTCACCAAACATTATATTTTTGAAAACTATGTTCAAATACGAATCCAATAAGATAATTTTTCTTGACATGCATTAACATTTTGTTAGTTAAATCTTTAGTGAAAATTTAGCACAAACTACAAAGGAAACCTATAAACCAGGACGGAGGTAGTAGTAGATCATTGGATGGCCGCCCCGACCTACCAACCCCTTGCTCTCTGACCAAAACGGACCCTAGATACATTTCACATCCTGATTTAATAAGAAAACGTGTACCAAGATTTATATTTTACTGGCGCTGTCATCTGCTTATTTTGATCTTTAGCAGCAATCATTACCTGCTCCGCGGAGTAAGTTCCCTCTTCCACGGCAAATATATCGTTACCTAGCTATCATATATGCGTTCAAATAATGCTCCTCAGAAACTACAAGCACGTACGTACAACCAAAACAAACAACACACAATGATCGATACATAGTCAACAGACAAATTCTTTGAGCGAGCTAACCCAGATGCTGTCGTTGAATTTTCTCAACGATAAGTTGTGGTCAGAGAAGTGCAGCTGCTGCCGCAGCATTTTGATACTCTACTCCTACCTGATGAGCGGAGTGTTTCTACTGGATGGGCGTCGGAATTCTGTTGCGAAAGCTGGTCTTCGGTCGTGGACTCGTTCTGTTACATAAGCACGAGTAGACAATGTTATAGGATGCGTGTTGCTGCACGTACCTAGTACTGTAGTGGTAGTAGTCTCATGATGTACTCCATGCCTTTTCTTGAGGGGACATGCGCATGTGCAGCATTTTGGTGTGCCAAACCTCCGGCGATTGCGGTGCGGTCGGATCCAAAAGTCGTTATTTGCTTCGAGCAACCAGCATTGAAATTCTTTTGACTAGAGTCTATCTATCTACTCTCTGTCTCTGGAGTAGGAGTACTTCTAAATCCGTAAGCATAAAGCTCCAGAACCAACCAGGCATCCATATGTGCAGACAGTAGCATCTAAGAATTAGGCAGCATTAGAAATCTTCTCCATCGATCGATCCTTTTGAGTAAATAGCATTCCTTTCATAGGATAGGATTATCATAGGAATAGGAATTTTGTAGGAAATGAGATGACATGTATCTCAAATCCTATGAGTAGAAATAGGAAACAAGATGTCATTTGGTTGACACCAAAGGAATTTTTCCATTGAGTCTAGGCTCTTTTTTATTTTCCTATGAAATGTGGAGGATAGGAACCAATCCTATGTAGGAATAGGAATTCATTCCTATGAACCAAAGGGCTCTGAAGGAAAAAATCCTATAAAAATCCTATCCTCTAGAATTCCTATGAAATTCCTCTAAACCAAAGAAGGCCTAAAACTACTACTTTACAGGCTAGGATTCCAAAAAACTATCAGTTTTAAATTTTTCTCATATAACTACCAAGTGGGTGGTCGGCAGTTTCAAAAAACCCAAATTCCGCGTTGCTAACGTTTTAAACCGATTTATGACAGGTCGGACCCACTCCTAAACAATCCGTTAGTTGACCGTTTTGTTTGACCGTTAACTTATTATGGGACCCACGTGTAAGATGTCTCTTCTTCCTTCTACCATTTCTTCTCTCCTTGTCTCTTTCTTTCCCGTCCCCTCCTCCCGGCAATGGCCCGACCACGGCCACCCTCACCACGCCCCGCGCCCAGAGCAAGGGTCGGCCGCCGCGAGCCGCCCCCAGGGGCAAAGGCCGCCGCGCCCAGGAGCAAGGGCCGGTCGCGCGAGCCGCCCCCAGGAGCAAAGGCCGCCGCGAGCCGCCGCGCCCAGGGGCAAGGGCCGGCCGCCGCGAGCCGCCCCGAGGAGCAAAGGCCGCCGCGAGCCGCCGCGCCCAGGGGCAAGGGCCGCCGCGCCCAGGAGCACAGGCTGCCGCGCGCCGCGCCCAGGAGAAGCGGCAGCGGCGGGCAAGGAGCTCCGCCTGGACCCAGCCCGTCGAGCCGCCTCCTTCCGCCTGGCCTGCAACCTGGCTCCACGCGTCGCCCGGGACGGAAGGGAGCTCCACGGCGGTGCCATGGCTGCTGGCCGGCGACCCTCACGCCGGCTGCTGGCGCACGGCCACGAGGAGGGACCCGATTGCTTTTTTCAAAAGTTTGCAGGGACCCGATTGCGTTTTGAAAAGTTTGCAGGGACCTGATGGCATTTTTGAAAAATTTACAGACACTGACATGTGGGACCCACATGTCAGTTAACGGTCAAATAGACGGATCGTTTAGGTGCGGGCCCGACCTGTCATAAACCTATTTAATTTTTTAACAACGAAGATTTTGAGTTTTTTTAAACAGCCGACCCCTGACTTGGTAGTTATCTGAGAAAATTTAAAAACCGGTAATTTTTTGGAACCCTAGCCTGTAAAGTAGTAGCTTTATGCTATTTACTCGATCCTTTTAGATCATCTTTCTTGAGTCCATTAATAAAAGGTACAACTGTGAACACGGAACACTCAAATCAACAGATTAAGGCTCAAGCTAATTAACTAACTGGGTGTATGATTGGTGCATGCTGTGTGAACTGGGCCCAAAAGGTATTATACTCCACTTTGACTAAACAGATTACTGTTAGGCGCGGAGTAGTACTAGGAATAACGAATATTCATGTCTGATCCCAGGCTCATCTGTTCATGGTGAACAATAAAATACTTCCTCCGTTTCTTTTTACTTCGCGTATAAAATTTGGTCGAAATCAAACTACACAAAGTTTGACCAAATTCACATCAAAAAATATCAACATCTATAATACTAAAATTATATGGTATGAAAATACATTTCATGGTGCATCTGATAATAATGATTTCATATTGTGAATGATGATATGTTTTAATATAAAGTTAGTCAAACTTTATAAAGCTTGACTTTGACCAAACCTTATATGCACACTAAAAAGAAACGGAGGGAATACTATACGATCTGTGGATAGATATAATTCAAGTCTTTTTCACATGTATGCTATAGAAGAGTCTTGCTATGCACACAAGGAAACTTGGACAATGCACAGACGGTGGATTAAATCTTGCCAAACACGCGTTGATTCACAAGGGAGTCGGCCGCTGGATTTACGTGTCGTGCATAGATCGGCCACTTGTATCGTGCACGGAGCAATTTCGGCTATAGAATTTGCTGATGCACGTCCGTACGTATTTATATGCTGCCTTGAGGAGAGAATTCACTTCGAATTGTCCATGATAGCTATAGATAGATATATGAATGTTTCGACCATGACCATGCATCATGCATCATGCATGCCACCAGTTTCTAAGGATGAGCATGGATTGGGCCAAATAGTACCGCCGGAGACCGGGTCCGTCTGTATGTCCTCGAAACTTGAAAAAAAAATGAGAAAATTCAGCAGGATGGTCGGATCATCATCTCGTTCACGATCATGTACCGGTAGGCAGTAGCTACATACCGATCGAGACGTGGACTAACCTTGACATTTGTTGGGTAGTGAAACGGTGATGCAAAAATTAATTAAGAAAACCATAAGCGTGCTAATGTACTCTTCCTGTGCCAAAGTGCTGCCCAAAGTCCATGTAAGTGTTACAAAAAATGCTCTAGATTTGACTCACAATAAACACACAGTCGGCAGCGGAAGGCAGTCGGTAGTTTTCAGTAGCACAGGAAAGCAACACGAGGAGCCGGAGTCATGCATGCAAGCATGATTGCCATGATTCTTTACTTAACCGTCTCGATAGCACAGTGTCGGCAAGCAGCTTTTCCACACCAAAAACTGTTCATTTTTCACGAGCTACGACGTTGCATATGCTCTACCAGCTACACGGCCGGAGCGATGTAGCACCTGCAGGTGTGAAACGCGTCACTCCAATGCGCGCGCCCGTTTGGATCAACTCTCAAAGTCCACCGGAGTAGGTGAAGACGATGATGCAATCTAATAATATGTGATGGCAGACTAGTAGCTAGTATAATCATGGCCGGCGGCGTGAGCTAGCCTTTTCCCCCCATAAATACCGGCCGCCCGGCGTTCCTCCACCATACGGCGCCGAGAACAACATCCCGCCGCCGACGTCGGGGCTCGCAAACCTTACGTCCCTCTTCGCCGCGCAGGGGCTCTCCCAGAAAGACATGGTCGCCCTCTCAGGTACTAGAACGTACTACATGCAAATGCACGTATGACGTACCCATTAACCGCCAATTAAACAACAAAAAATATTGTATATTAACCTATTATTTACTGAGATTTTCAGAAAATAAATTTACAACATACCATCGATCTATTTCTACTCCAACTGACCATTAATGTACTGTTCCAGTCTTAATAACCAACATATAAGTAGTGATCACGTAATTTTCTTTTCCTGAATCAAGGTAAAATTCTTTGACTACTTTCACTGACTATTAATTTATCAATGGAGTAGTTGGTAACTTTGGGAGCTGCAAAAGAGCTGGGATCAACCAACGGAACTGATAGCCACGTTTTGACTCGAAAACTAAAAACTATACTACTGATAATATACTTTACAGGTCATGAATTAGAAAGTTGGTGACAAATTACCATTGACCTGAACCTCTAGAAATTATTGCTCTGTAAGGCTACTATAGACACAACAACAACAAAAAAAGTTGATCTGCTCCGTGATCACTTAAAATACGTAGAAGCGCCAATTACGGAAGTTGGTGAATGATTGTTAACAATGGAAAGAAAAAGAGTAATCATTTAACGGTAACCTGACCCATCACTTGTTCCAGGAGCCCACACGATCGGCCAAGCACGCTGCACATTCTTCCGGGACCACATCTACAACGACACAAACATCGACTCCGGCTTCGCCAGGAGCCGCCAGTCAGACTGCCCTCGCACCGCCGGCTCCGGCGACAACAACCTGGCGCCACTGGACCTGCAGACCCCGACCATGTTCGAGAACGACTACTACAAGAACCTCGTCCAGAAGAGGGGCATCCTGCACTCGGACCAGGAGCTCTTCAACGGCGGCGCCGCCGACGCGCTGGTCCGGCAGTACGTCGGCAGCCAGAGCGCCTTCTTCAAGGACTTCGTGGTGGGGATGATCAAGATGGGGGACATCACGCCGCTGACGGGGTCCAGCGGACAGATCAGGAAGAACTGCAGGAGGATCAACTAAGAAAAGATCCTCCACTTTCTGCGCAGACAGTTGTGAAATCCCTAGAAATGCAGCACAATCCGTAGCAATCCAGGATGTGTTTGGTCGCGCCCATGCTTGCAAGCAGCTTGTGGTTTCCTCTCGTTCGACTCTGTTTATGCAATTGTGAAATCAATGTACGTTGTGCCTGGTGGGTTAATAAAAGGTCTACCCCGTCTCTATAGTCAGAAATTATTGGTGAAAACTGAAAAGCCTGCAGCACGACGACATGATAACCTAATTTTTTGCAACTGAAGAACCATATAGGCCATCAAGAAGCTGTGACCCTCTGGAACGACAACTACTTTATCATTGCGTGTGGAAGATCATAGAATAAATGGAGGAGGCTAGCAGCAAAGAGTAACTGATCTAGGATGCTGCATATCATAGTTTGGCCGCCTGGACACACTATTCTTAGGCATGCCCTTGCAGCTCAAGTTACTATTATTACCTTTGCACGTTGCGAAAATAACCAAATTGGCTTGCAAATGGTGATTCAAATTTTCGCAACTGAAGAACCAGATGTGCCAATAATTGACTTGGCACATCTATGCAGATCAATCACAACAGAACACAAAAGGGCACAATCTGAGAGCATCAAAATCTTCTGCCAGCTGGAACAAATATCCCAGGTAATATCTAGAGGAATTTTTTTTTGCGGGAAATATCTAGAGGAAATTATCAAGACAGTAAGCAAAACATGGATTATCTCAACTGTCACTACTATCCCCGGCCCCCAACATCAAGCCTCATATGAATAGCAGCAATATTGTGCAATGTAATTCTCATCAGATCAAATCTACCTAATTAAATCAAATTTAACACAAGAGCAATAGGTGCTCCGCAATTGCCAACTGAAAAAAACAGCATTTCCGACAGAATAGTAGTCATTTGCATCAACGAAGACGGTAACAAATCATGTTCGCAGAAACAAGAGTCCATGCGGATCATACAAAAAAACTCTGAAAATAGTGCATGTCCAAACTGTGACTACAGAACACAACAACTTCCAGAGCTAGTAAAGATAAAGTAAACATGCACCTTTCACTTCAGAAGTTCACGAAAGGGTCGCCAACAGAACTGCCCGATGCTCTCTTGAAGTTTCCCATGCCACCATCTTCAGGATCAGAACACCCAGTGACCATGATTTTGGAGCCTGCACTGGCCCGTTTCATGGACCGCAGAGGATTCACTTTGGAGTGCATATCCTCCATGGAAGTGAACCATGCATTGGCCAACACTATCACCACATGCTTCAGCACCAGCGCACTCTCAAAGAAAAACTTGAGAAAAGCAAGCTCACTCCGATCCCCTCGGAAATCATGGAAAACCAGCAGGTTGATGCGCGAGCTGATGCATTCTATGGTACCAGACTCATTCCAGAACTTGAGGTTGTGCTTGCCAGAGGGTTGACCAGTTTTTCCAGACTGAAAAAATAATTTAAGTTAGTGCACATGAAGTTCATCAGATGTTGATGGATCCTGATACAACAGCAGCAATTCACAGTATGATGCTAGTACATTATGGTGCAAATGAGTGCCAAAAGAAGCATCAGGGGCTTCACCATGATGTGGAGCGTCTCAACATTGGGAAAGCATCTGAGGACAGTCGGGATCATCTTGACATCATTGCGGACTCCACAACGCACCTCCAAAGCCAGGACCCTCACACTTGGTACCATGGTGCTTGGGCTCACCTTTGTCCCAGCCTGCCATTGAAACCTCAATGCACTCAATTAAGAGAAGAAAGATCACACATGTACATTGATCATTTTGGTATGATGTACTCCAATGGAACAAATGGAAAAAAATGTGGCACCTTGATGACGGTGTCGCCGAACTCTAGGACATGACTTCCTGAATCCAAGTATCCCAACGAGTGCAACTTGGGGGCATAACCGATCTTCACCTTGGTGCAAACCCCGCCGCGGCTCCAACATCCTGTTAGGATGAGTCTCTCAAGGCGCGGGGCGTCCACCACAGCGATTTCTTCAAAGGAGGACATGAGGATCTTCACGCACCGGAGGCTTTGGCTGACAAGGCGAAGACTAAGCTTGAAAAGATTCCCATGGATATAAAGCGTCTCCAGCACGGGGCTCCTGTCGAGGATGAAGTCCAGATCCTTGCTCTCCATGACGAGGCTGCAGAGCCCGAGCTCAAGGAGGTTAGGGAAACAGGTGGCGCTCGGGATGCCGGCCGTGTCGGGGAACTTCCAGAGGCCGAGGTAGAGGCGGGTGAGGGTGGTCATGCCTAAGAAGGTGGAGGGGAGAACGAGGTCGAGCGGCCAAGGGCGGTTGACGAGGACAAGTTCCTGGATCCCCTTGTTGGCGAGGATGTGGAGCCAGCGCGTGAGCATGCCATGGAACTCTTCCATGTGGCTGCTGGTGAGGTGGACGCAGCGGAAGGGTCCCGGGTGCGCGGCGAGGATGCGGGACACGGCGGAGGTGATGCGCCGTGCATCGCCACGCGCGGCCGCGGTGCCTGCGGCTGCGGTGGCTGCGGCTGCGGGGAGGATGTGAGAATCGACGAGGACGAGCGGGGCGGAGCGCCAGACCCCGCGCCAACGCCGGGAGAGCGCCGCGGTGCGCGCGCCTTCCTTGACTGGGAGGCGAGAGACGATGTTGCGGAGGAGCACGTCCGGAAGGCGGCTGACGCCGTCGACGGAGTGGTGGGGGAGGAGAGCGCAGAGGCGAGCGTCGACGGAGACGGGCGGGTCCGGGAGGGCGTAGTGGGTGTAGGAGAGCACGCGGGCGAAGAGGGCCTCCATCTCCTCCGGGTCCTGGCCGTCGAGCCGGAACATCAACGCCGTCGCCGGATCCATGGGAACGGGCGGCACCCGGGTGTCCATGGCCGTCGCCGGAAGCGCCGCGGTGGGGACGAGGGTTTTGGGCGGCGCGTGTCCTCTGTGGAGTGGAGCGGAGCGGAGCGGCGGAAGAGAAGGGAAATTGCTCCTGAGCCGAGGGAAAAGGCCCAATGTCCCGCTGGATGGGCCTCCCAATGGGCACGTTCGAGCACGCTGAGGAGCAGCCGCGTGGTGCGACCAGACCGCAAAATTATACTACTACTTTTAACGATTACTAATTGAACGCCCGTGCGTTGCCACCGCATAAAAAAACAATGCTTAAACATATTTTCTAATTAAAAAAAGTGTGCTATAATCAAATGTAATTCTTCCATGCAGCAACAAAATCATTATTTGACCCCGCTCATTGCCCCCTCAGCAATTTTCATATCTCGTTATCGGCCATCTCCTTGCAAGAAGATAATTAAATCGTCATCTTTCTTTCTCCCCTACCCTTCTTCCTTCCACCTTCATTATCGTCACCATCTCTAAGCACTGCTTATAAATCCCGTACTGGTACAAAATATTATTATTTCATCAAAGATTTTTGTGATGCTCTTTTTGACGGTCAGTAATTTGAATAGGCGCATGCGAGAGATGGGACTGTCGAAGAGGTACGCGAAGAGGGTGACGTGCGAGGAAAGGTATGGACTCGCTCCCGCGACGCGCCCCCCGCGCGCGTCATGGGAGATACCCTAGCGCTGCCGGCGGGCTTCCCCTCCTCCTCCCTCGTCTCCCTCGTCGCCGCCAGAGAGGGCGCGCCGGGCGAAGCCTAGTAGGCGCTGGCGGCGGCGGGGCTGCCTTGTCTCCTTAGCCAGGGCCTTCGGCGCGGGTCGAGGAGGCTGCCTGGGATGCGGCGCTGGCGGCGGGCGCGGCAGCGCGGCGACGAGCTAGAGCCTGCTGGCGGCGGCTTCGTGGCGGCGGCGTGACCGGCGCGGCGGTGGCGGGCGTGCCTTGGTCGCTATCGTGGGCGTTCCCTTCTTAGGGACACCATCTTGGAGGCCTGGTTCCGTCGTTCCCGTCTCACCTCCCCTCGGAGGAAGTCTCCGGTGGCTCCAAGCAGTTCGTCCTCGCGCATTTGTAGTGGCTTGATAGTCGTTGGGGTGCTGTGGCGGTGCCCGGCACCTTTGTATCTCGCCTTGGGTGTGTGTGTCGTGTGCGGTGATGGTGTGAATTTGTATCATGGTCCTTGTGGTTCGGTGCTTTATATATAAAGCAGGACGAAAGCCTTTTTTGGTAGGAGGGTGACGTGCTCGAGTTAGCTCGTGATCTCCCGTGACGGCGATCTTACAACCACTATCTACACTCCATCTCTTTCTGAGATGGAGGAGGCGGCGCCACAACAAGAAAGGGAGTATGGAATTTCCTGAAGTCCATTGTGTGTGATCAAAACAGCCTTGTACATATACCTTTTGCAGTTCTCCGAATAGATGATGATTCTATTATGTCATAATATGCTCTTACATAACCACAAAAAAGTATTCCTGGAAGTTGAGCCAACCAGACACCAAACAATACAGCGTGCCATCCGGCGCTTGCACGCCAGACCTCGTACCTGCTCGCTGCATCTTCCCATAGGGGATAGGACTACTGTAGTTTAGGACAGTTGATGCTTTGTTCATTTTACTTCAGAACTTTATGCTCCTGCAGATTGTCGAGTTTTTCTGTTCTACTCCCTCCGTTCCGATTTACTCGTCGTGGTTTTAGTTCAAATTTAAACTAAAACCACGACGAGTAAATCGGAATTGAACTAAAACCACGACGAGTAAATCGGAACGGAGGGAGTAGCCATTAATATGCCATACTGTTTGTGAATAAAAACTTATGGTATTTGCAGGATTATTTGCTTAGCCTTTTTTATTTGTGCTCCCTTTGTGAGCTGTACTCCGGATTACAGACTTTGTATTTTGCTGAACTTGTTTAATAATAGGGCCGCATGCATCTTTCGTATGCAGAGGCCAGGGGAACCTCCTTTTCTAAAATAAATAAAAAAAGGCAGGTGTTGTATCTATTAGAAGAAGAGAAAGACAAAAGGTTCTGGCCGAAGCCCAGTTACAGAATACAGTAGTCAAGATTAGCCACCTCTGACAAAAGCTAGCTTTCTCAATCTCATTATCTCCTGGATCCTACAGATCCTGTCA